TTTTTTTTTTTTTTTTTTTATGTTTATTTATTTTTGAGAGAGAGAGCATGAGCAGAGGAGGTGCAGGGAGAGAGGGAGACACAGAATCCAAAGCAGGTTCCAGGCTCTGAGCTGTCAGCACAGAGCTGGACACACGGCTCAAACTCACGGACCGCAAGATCATGACCTGAGTGGAAGTTGGGCACTCAACCAACTGAGCCACCCAGGTGCCCCATATGTAGTTTTTTAAGGAACTGCCAAACTGTTTTCCAGAGTGGCTTTACCATTTTACATTCCTGCCAGCAGTGTTTGAGTGACTCAGTTTCTCTCCATCCTTGCCAGCATTTGGTGTTAGCCATTTTTTTTTAATGTTCATTTATTTTTGAGAGAGAGAGAGAGGGAGAGAGAGAGAGGGATGAAGTGTTGGAGTGAAATGGAGGAGAGCAGAGAGAGAGGGAGACACAGAATCTGAAGCAGCCTCCAGGCTCCAGGCTCCAAGCTGTCAGCCCAGAGCCCAATGCAGGGCTCAAACTCATGAACCACGAGATCATGACCTGAGCCGAAGTTGGACGCTTAACTGACTGAGCCACCCAGTTGCCTCTGTGTTAGCCATTAAATACAGTTTTTTAAAAAATCTTATTTTAGAGAGAGAGAGCATGAGCAGGAAGAGAGGCTGAGGGGGAGAGAGAGAGAGAATCTTAAGCAGGCTTCATAACCAGTACAGAGTCCCACCTGGATCTTGATCCCATGACCCTGGGATCATGACCTGAGCTGAAAGCAAGAGTCAGACACTCAACTGGCTGAGCCACCCAGGCACCCCATATATGGTTAACCATTTTGATAAGTGTGGAGGATTAGCCTGTTGTGTTTTTAATTTGCATTTCTTTAATGGCTGATGATGACATCTTATATACTAATTGCCTCTTTTGTGAAATGCCTGAATTAATTGGATTTGTCTATTTATTTATGTATTTATTTTTACTATTGAAAGTGTTTTATTGTAGATAGGTATGAATCCTTGGTCAGATACATGGTTTGTAAATATTTTCTTCCAATTTGTAGCTGTTTTTTCATTTTCTTCAAAGTGTTTTTCACATGGCAAACATTTTTAGTTGTGATAAAGTCCAGTTCATCAGTTTTTTCTTTCATTGTGCTCTCCACCTAACCCTAGATCCTGAAGATTTCAAGTCCATGATGCATTTTGAGTTATATTTCGTGTAATGTGTGAGGTTTAGATTGAGGTTCATTTTTTTGCCTGTAGATGTCTATCTAGTTGCTTGAAACCAGTTGTTGAAATGTCTGTCTGTCCCTCTTCTATTGAACAGCTTCTGACACTTTGTTAAAAATCATTTGGGTATATTTGGATGAATCTATTTCTGGGTTCTCTAGTCTACTGTATTAATTTTGAATGAATAAACAAGGTCGACTTATGTTTAGGTTTGCCACATAGTAGTGAAGCTATCACGTATGTCGTCAGAGTCCAAGATTTAACAGTTGTGTGACTAAACTTAGAAAAACAGAGATCGTAAAGAAAGAAAGAAAGAAAGAAAGAAAGAAAGAAAGAAAGAAAGAAAGAAAGACCGAGATTGTTTGTTATTCTTTTGGTAGAGTGTAGTTCATTTCCATTGCATATTAATTATGCTTCTAGGTAGCAAAATTTTTTTTTAACGTTTATTTTTGAGAGAGAATGAGCAGGGGAGGAGCAGAGAGAGAGGGAGACAAGAATCTGAAGCAGGCTCCAGGTTCTGAGCTGTTAGCACAGAGCCCAACATGGGGCTCAAATTCATGAACTGTGAGATCATGACCTGAGCTGAAGTTGTACACTTAATCAACTGAAGCACTCAGGCGCCCCTCGGTAGCAAAATTGAGAGCTTCTTTTTGTTAGCTCTTCTCATAAAAATTTGGTTAGAACAGACATTAAAATAAAATAAAATAAAATAAAATAAAATAAAATAAAATAAAGTAAAAACAAGAAAAAAACTTGAATGTACCAGTTACAAGTATATACTGAGAGAGAATCAAACTAGCCTGAATTGAGCTCCAACTATGGGACTGGCCCTGGGGTCGATGCTTTCGTCTTGGTTAAGCCTCACAACAAGCCAGCAAGATTATTATCTTGATTACCTTCTTGAAACAGTTTTTCACCTGTCACCAAGTTAGCAGATTCTCCTGGTTCTCTTCCTTCCTTCCTGTCTCTTCATACTCTGCTTGTTTCATCTAAGCTCCCTGCACTTTTAACATTGGCCTGCCTGAAACCTTAGTCCTTGGACTTAATTCTCCTCCTTATTTGCACTTGCCCACCTAGGTCATTTGATCTAACATACGGCTTTAAATACCATCTATATGTTGACAACTCCCAAATTTATATCCCCCGACTCCATTAATACCAGCAAGGTGTGAGTGATCCAGTTTCTTTGCCTCCTTGCTAGCATTTGGTATTATCACTATTTTTTATTGTAACCATTTTATAAAATACACACACACACACACACACACACACACACACACACACACACTTATTTAAATGTAACTGCCTACTCAACATCTCTCTACTTAGATACTTAATAGACATTTCAAACTTCCTCTTGAGAGAGAGAGGTAGAGAGCAAGCATGGGCAGAGAAAGAGAGGGAGACAGAATCCCAAGCAGGCTTCACAGTGTCAGCACAGAGCCTGTTGTGGGACTCGAACTCCCCAACTGTGAGACTGTGACCTAAGCTGAAACCAAGAGTCAGATACGTGACTGACCCACGCATGCACCCCTCCCCCATGTCATTTAATAGCAGCCTATCCTTCTGGTGCTCAGGCCAAAAATTTTCAACTCTTCGAGGTTTCTGGGTGGCTCAATCAGTTAAGCGTCCAACTCTTGATTTCCGCTCAGGTCATGATCCATGGTTCCTGAGATAGAGCCCTGAATTGG